ATCTAGATGAAGGAGGCTTCTTGGAGTAGGTAGCATCTGAATTGGGATTGGAACAACTAGCAGCAGCTGCCAGGTCAAAATGACTGGTAAGGCAAGAGGTGGAACATATGCACAGCCCAAAGGTATAAGATATCTTGATGCATTTACGGAAGAGTGAGAAGGAAGGGAGGTGATGGGGGTGAACGACAAATGTATTATTAGTTAAGATAGGCTACTTTACACTGTGGTCACAACCATGAAGTAAAATAAAAATGATCTGCCAGGCTACATGTCACACACAGGCTTTTCCACCTTATAATTTACCATCTCAGCCTGAGGCTTTAGGACTCACTGCAGCAGGTGGAGAGAACACATGCATCTGCTCTTAAATACTTTTGCCCAGAAATGACATTCACCACTTCTATTCTCATTTCATTGGCCAAAGCAAGTCATAAAGTCACCTAAAACGTCAAAGAGGTGAAAAATGCAATCAATGCAATCCACCTGTTTTGCAAGAAGGGAATCAGAAATATTAGGAACCACCAGCAAAGTCTACCATAGGCCTTGTGTACCGCGCTTTGGAATTGTGATTTTATCTTCCAGTGCAGGAACAAACGCAAGCAGAGGCCAAACACAAGGAATTCAGGGTCAGCCTTACAACTGGTTGCCCTCTGACTCTATACTTCAAGTCTCCAGAGGCTGGAGTATCAGTCAGGGGCCACAGGAAAACAGGCCACTGCATGTTCCCACAGAGGAGGTTAAGATAAGGAAATGGTTACACAGGTGTTGCAGAAATGAGACAGCAAAAAGGCAACTGTGAGAGAACCCAGAGATAACTACAAGAAGCAGCTACTATCCCTAAACTTGAAAGTACAGCAGGGAAGAGGTAGGATTCCCAGAACCTGGGGGTATAGAGCAAAGGCCCTGCAGAATAGATATGACGGCCTCTTAGGAGGCCTGGTTGCTGCTACTGAGGTGCTGCCAATGGGAGGCACTCGTGGAAGAGTGGAAGGCAGTCAGAGGGCAGAAGCTTCCTTCCTGGTTCTTTTTCTTTTTCTTGAGACTGAGTCTCCCTCTGTCACCAAGGCTGGAGTGCAGTGGCGTGACCTTGGCTCACTGCAACCTCTGCCTCCTGGGTTCAAGCGATTCTCCTCCCTCAGCCTCCTGAGTAGCTGGGAATACAGATGCTGCCAACACACCCGGCTAATTTTCCTATTTTTAGTAGAGATGAGGTTTCACCATGTAGGCCAGGCTGGTCTCAAACTCCTGACCTCAAGTGATCCTCTCGCCTTGGACTCCCAAAGTGTTGGGATTACAGGCGTGAGCCACCACGCCCCTCCGATGCTAGTATTTATGCCCATATATTTCATAGTATCCTGTGGGTGTGCCTGAATTTAAGGTTTCAGTTTTCCTTACCTGCCACATTTCAGGGCACCTGAACCCAGGACACAGCTCTTGGGGACTTCTTGAGGCCTTAACCACCATCTTAAACTAATATAAAATTGTAGCATGTCCAGGGGTAAGCAGAGGGTTTGTTAACACATGACAGAGAAAAATTATTTAAATTAACTTACAGTAATATTTATTTTTCTTGTACAATTATTTGAATTTAACACATGTACAGACTCATACGACCATCACTGCAATCAGAATATAGGATGGTTCCATCATCCCCAAACCTCCGTTGTATTATCCCTTTATAGTTATACCCTCCCCCTCCCTCTAAGCCCCAGAAACTACTGATCCGTTCTCTCTAACTATACTTTTATCTTTTCAAGAATGTCATAAAATGGAATCATATAGTGTGTAACCTTTTGAGACTCACTTCCACTCAGTATAATGCCTTTGATAGTCATCCAAATTATTAGTATATCAATTATTCATTCATTTTTAGTGCTGAATGGTATTCTATTGTATGAACATACAATGGTTTTTTATTCATTCACCCACTGAAGGACATTTGGGTTGTTTTCAGTTTTTGGCTATTATAAATAAAGCTGCTAATAACATCCATGTAAAAAGCTGGGCGTGATGACTCACAGCTGTAATCCCAGCACTTTGGGAGGCCGAGGAGGGCGGATCACTTGAGGTCGGGAGTTCGAGGTCAGCCTGGCCAACATGATGAAACCCCGTCTCTACTAAAAATACAAAAATTAGCTGGGCATGGTTGCATATACATATAATTCCAGGTACTTGGAGGCTGAGGCACAAGAATTGCTTGAACCTGGGAGGCGGAGGGTGCAGTGAGCCAAGATTGTGCCACTGCACTCCAGCCTGGGCGACAGAGCGAGACTCTCTCAAAACAACAACAAAAAAATCCATATGCAGGTTTTTGGATGAATACGTTTTCACTTCCCTTGGATATATACATATATACCTATGAATGGGATTGCTTGTTCTTATGGATAAATGCATGTTAACTTTATAAGAAACTGCCAAACTGTCTTCCAGCGTGGCTTACCATTTTGCATTCCCACCGGCAACATATGAGAGTTCCGGGGCTCTTTGTTCTCACCTCCAATTGGTGTTGTATTTTTTATTTAGTCATTCTATTTTTAATATTCTAACTCAATCTAATAGGTGGCAATCATGGTATTAATTTTTATTTTCCTGATGGCTAATGGTGTTAAACATCTCTTCATGTAATGATTTCTCATCCACATGTAAAGCGATAGTTTAAACCTTCTGCCCATTTTTCTTTTCTTTTTTTTTTTTTTTGAGACAGAGTCTCGCTCTGTCGCCCAGGCTGGAGTGCAGTGGCCGGATCTCAGCTCACTGCAAGCTCCGCCTCCCGGGTTTACGCCATTCTCCTGCCTCAGCCTCCTGAGTAGCTGGGACTACAGGCGCCCACCACCTCGCCCGGCTAGTTTTTTTGTATTTTTTAGTAGAGACGGGGTTTCACTGTGTTAGCCAGGATGGTCTCGATCTCCTGATCTCGTGATCCGCCCGTCTCGGCCTCCCAAAGTGCTGGGATTACAGGCTTGAGCCACCGTGCTCGGCCACCTTCTGCCCATTTTTCAATAGAGTTGTTTTCTTACTGTTAAGTTTGGAGAATTTCTTATATACTGTGGATATAAGTCCTTTGTTGAAGATGTTGTGTAAATATTTTCTCCCACTCTGTGGCTTGTCTTTTCATTACTTTAAAAGTGTCTTTTGCAGAGCAAAAACTTTTAATTTTGATGCAGTCCAATTATCAATTTTTTCATATAAGGATTATGCTTTTGGTGTCATATCTGAGTATTCTTTGCTTAATCCAAGGTCAGGAAGGTGTTCTTATGTTTTCTTGTAACTGTTTCACAGTTTTGCATATTACATTTAAATCTATAATCTACTTAAAATTAATTTTTGTACAGGCATAAGATTTAGCTCAAAGTTCATTCTTTTTGTGTATGGATGCCCAATAATTCCAAACAATTCATTGAAAAGAATGTAGCTTGTCCATTGAATTGCTTTTGCACTTTTGTGAAAAATCAATTTCATATGTAGACCTATTTCTAGACTCTAATTTTGTTCCATTGATGTATATATCTATTCCTTCACCAGTGCTATCCTGCCTTGATTACACTTTATTACTTTACATAGTAGCATTACAGTACATCTTAAATTGGATACTGTGAGGCCTCTAATTTTATTCTTCTTTTTCAAAATTGTTTTGTTTTGACTGTTCTGTTACTTTGACTTCCCTATTTTATATTTCACTTGGCTGGGATTTTTATGGAAATTTTATTAAATCTGTATATCAATTTGGAGAGATTTGACATCTTTGCTAAATTTAGTCTTTCAATCCATGAACATGGCATGTCTCTTCATTTATTCAGGTCTTCTTTGATTCCTTTCATCAGTATTTTATAGATTTTAGCATATAGGTGCTGGACATGTTTTGTTAAAATTTTATACCTAAATATTTTTATTTTATGCTATTGTGAATGATACATTTTAAAGATTTTTTGGCTGAGTACAGTGGCTCACATCTGTAAATCCAGCACTTTGGGAGGCCAAGGCAGGCAGATCACGTGAGGTCAGGAGTTCGAGATCAGCTTGGCCAACACAGCAAAACCTCATCTCTACTGCAAATACAAAAATTAGCCAGGCGTAGTGGTGGATGCCTGTAATCCCAGCTTGGGAGGCTGAGGCAGGAGAATCGCTTGAACCCTGGAGGCGGAGGCTGCAGTGAACCGAGATCGCACTGCTGCACTGCAGCCTAGGCGACAGAGTCAGACTCCTCCAAACTAAAAAAAAAAATAATAAATTAAAAAATCATCTCCAATTGCACACAGCCTGTATACAGAAATATGATTGGTTTTTGTGTGCTGAACTTGCACCTGGAGACCTTGCTAAACTCACTTATTTGGTTCTAGGATTTTGTAGATTTCATGGGATTTTTCTAAGTAGATGATCATATTATCTATGAATAGGAGAATTTTTCTAATATTCTTTGAGAATTTCTCTTTTTTCCTCCCTTTTCTTTTTGTTCCCTCTGTTTTTAGTTCCTCTGTTTCCCCAGCATTCCATTAAAACTTATATAGTGTGATTTTTGCTATATACGTATGCCTTTTATTTCTTTTTTCTGTCTTAGTGCACTGACTTGGAGTTCCAATACAATGGAACTAAGAGTGGTGATAGCGGACTTTCTTGCCTTTTCCCGACCTCGGAGGGAAGGAATTCAGTCTTTCATCTTAAGAATAATGCTAGATATCCTGTGAGGTTTTTTCTTGGGTCGGGGTGGGGGTGTGGTGTAGCTGCTCTTTATCAGGTCAAAGAAGTTCCCTTTTATTCCTATTTTGCTGAAAGCTATCATGAATGGATGTTGAATTTTGTCAACGCTTTTTCTGCATCAGTGAATATGATCATGCAGCTTTTCTTCTTCTTTTTTTTTGGTACCAAATTTCTTTATTTGAAGGAATGGTACAAATCAAAGAACCTAAATGGATGTTTTGGTGCAACTTATAGAAAAGGTAAAGGAAACCCCAACATGCATGCACTGCCTTGGTGACCAGGGAAGTTACCCTATGGCTATGGGGAAGTTAGCCTGAGGCTTAGCTTTCATTATCACTGTCTCCCAGGGTATGCTTGTCAAAGAGATACTCTGCCAAGCCAGATTCGGGTGCTCCCATCTTGTGCAAGTTGGTCACGTGGTCACCCAATTCTTTGATGGCTTTCACCTGCTCATTCAGGTAATGTGTCTCAATGAAGTCACACAAATGGGGGTCATTTTTGTCAGTGGCCAGTTTGTGCAGTTCTAGTAGTGACCGATTCACAATTTTTTTCCAAATGTAATGCACACTCCATCGCATTCAGCCCGCTCTCCCAGTCCTCATAGTCTGGTTTCTTGATATCCTGAAGGAAGATTGGGCCACCTCGTTGGTTCTGCAGCTTCATCAGTTTCTCGGCATGTTCCCTTTCCTCATGAGATTGGTGAAGAAAGTATTTGGCAAAGTTCTTCGAAGCCACATCATCGCGGTCAAAGTAGTAAGACATGGACGGGTAAACGTAGGAAGGGTAGAGCTCCAGGTTGATCTGGCGGTTGATGGCGGCCTCTGAGTCCTGGTGGTAGTTCTGGCGCACCTGCGAGGTGGACGCGGTCGTCATGGCGGAGGCTAAGGACAGGTGGCGGCTGCAGCGGCGGTGGCTGCGCGGCGCTGGAGCGGCGGCGGCGGGGTCCTTGGGCGGTCCGAGGGCGCGGTGAAGAGGTGACCGAGGGCTGGCTATGGGCGGCCGGCCAGGATGGGGACGAGCGCCGGGTTCCGTCCTAGCACTGTTGAAGCAGGAAACCCCGACGACTCTCGGGGAAGAACATCTGGCCGCTTTTCTTCTTTAGACAGTAAAATGGTGGATTGCATTGACTGATTTTCTCATGTTGAAGAAGCCTTGTAATCCTAGGGTAAATACCACTTGGTCATGGTGCATACTTCTTTTTATACATTGTTAGATTCAATTTACTAATATTTTGTTAAGACTTTTTATGTCTAAGTTCATGAGAGATATTGGTAAGTAGCTTTCTTTTCTTCAACTGTCCGACTCTCTAGAAGAGATTGTACAGTATTGGTGTTATTTCTTCACACCGAAATCTATTTTTGTTGGATGTGTTATTTTTGGTTAATAGTTCTTTCAGCACATTGAAAATGGTGTGCATGTCTTTATGACCTTCTTGGTTTCTGATGAGAAATCCATAGTCATCCGAATTGTTGTTACCCTGTATGTAATATGTCCTCATTTTTATCTTTCTGTTTTAAACTTATTTTCTTTCCAGCAGTTTGAATATGTCTATGCTTTCATTCTTTGGGTTTATCCTGTTTGGGGTTTGCTGAGGTTCTTCAATCTGCAGGTTGGTGTCTTTTGCTTCATCTGAAATGTTTTCGGTTACAATATTTTCACATCTTTTTTTTTTTTTTCTGTACCACACTGTTTCTCTTCTCCTTCTGTAACTCTAAAGACACAAATGTTAGATATTTTGTTATCTCCTATAGGTCTTTGTGGCTCTGTTTATTTATTTCTCAGTTTTTCCTCTCTGCTATTCAGGTTGGATAATTTCTATTGATCTATTTTCATATTTACTGACTCTTTCATCTCTATTCTGCTATTGCATCCATCCAGTTTTAAAATTCCAGCTACTGCATTCTTCACTTATAAAATCTCTCTTTTTTTTTTAATTTTTGAGATGGAGTGTCACTCTGTCACCCAGGCTGGAGTGCAGTGGTGTGATCTCGGCTCACTGCAACTTCCACCTCCCGGGTTCAAATGATTATCCTGCCTCAGCCTCCCAGTAGCTAGGATTACAGGCACGTGCCACCATGCCCAGTGAATTTTTGTATTTTTAGTAGAGACGGGGTTTCACCATGTTGGCCATGCTGGTCTAGAACTCCTGACTTTGGCCTCCCAAAGTGCTGGGATTACAGGTGTGAGCCACCGTGCCCAGGCAAAATTTCAATTTGGTTCTTCTTTTATCTTTTACTCCTGTGCTGAGCCTTTTATCCTTACATTCATTTCAAGATTATTTGTCCTTACTTGTTGGAGCATCATTATAATAGCTGCTTTAAAGTTAATTCCAACATTGGTGTCACCTCAGCAGTGGTGTCTGTTATTTGCCTTTTCCCACCCAAGTTAAGATTTTCATGGTTCTTCAGGTATTGAATAATTTTGGGTTGTATCCTGGACATTTTGAATATTATGTTATAGGGCTTTGTATCTTGTTTTAATACTACGGGGAAATACTCATATTTTTGTTTTATTGGGTTTTTGTTTTAGTCATATTGGGTTTTAGCTTGTAATAGACATGCTTGGGTTTAGATCACAAGTTCTGACATGCCTTTTCTGGATAGTGGCTCCAAAGTCAATTCAGTTTTCAAAAGTTTGTAATGCTATTCAGATCTGTCCTACATGTGCTTTATCCAGTGGCTAGTCTAGGGCTTGGGTGGTGGTCTGCCTCTTAGTTCAATTATCACAGTCTTTGGTATGCTGTTTAGGATCAGATCCATGTGTAGGTTGGGGTGAACCTAGGAGTTCATAAAAACTTTATGAGGACCTTTCCCAAGGTCCTCTCCTCTCTACTGTCTCCTTGGTACTTTGTAATGCCTTGGAGTTCCCCTTTTAATCAATTGGCAAGAAATCTAGGCTATTTACTTATTTAAAGACAGGGTCTTGCTCTGTCGCCCAGGCTGGAGTATGGTGGTGTGATCATAGCTCACTGTAGCCTCAAACTCCTGAGCTCAAGTGATCCTTCCACCTTAGCCTCTTGAGTAGCCAAGACTACAGGCAAGCACTACTGTGCCCAGCTAATTGTATTTTCAAATTTTTCGTAGAGACAGGGTCTTGCTACATCACCCAGGCTGTTCTCCAACTCCTGGCTTCAACCAATTCACCCACCTCGGCCTCCCAAAGTGTTGGGATTACAGGGGTGAGCCACTGTGCCTGTCCAGAAATCCGGGTCTTTATTTAATACTCTCTGTTATGTATTTCCTGCAACTCTGCCCAAGTCTTGGGCCAAGCATCAGGACAGACGGAGTGAAAAAATACATATCATTGAGGGTTTGACCCCACTGTCTTGGGACCAGAGCTACTCCAAACAGAGAGGAAGGTTCTCCCCTCCCTTAGCAATTTTGGGTGCTTGAAGGTACTGTCTCCATTGTCACTGTTGACTCAGCTGCCACAGTGGGATTACTTATTGGCTAAGATGTAAGAGAATGGCGAAAAGAAAAAAATGGCACATTTCTCTTACTTTCTCTGAATATTAGGAGACCCATTTTCTGCTTTTTCTGGAGCTCTCTCTGTCCATGTTGATGCTCCCTTCTGGATTTTAAGCTTCCTTGAGTCCAGTCTAGTGGAGACTGGAGGAAATAAATGGTAAATTCACTGCCAGTTTAGTTTTACTTCAAATTCTGTTGTTTTTCCTCAGTTTATGTGGTACAATTTACTTTCCAGAGTCCTCAAATAGTTGCTGCATGCATTCTGTTCACATTTTATACTTGCATTAAGTAGCAGGTAATGAGTTTAGTGTGATTATTCTGTGTTAACTGAAATCAGAACTCCTGTATTATATATGTTAGTTTTCACACATAAATATGTACAGATAATGGAGTGTTTTCTTTGGTGTCTATTTGTGAATGGTTGGGACTAGTCTTTTCATACTCTACCCAAGGGAACTGCTTTACGTAATAAATACTCTTCTGGCTATCTATTGCTGTAGAAGAAACTACCCTCAAACTTAGTAGCTTAAAACAACATCAATCGGCCGGGCGCGCTGGCTCAAGCCTGTAATCCCAGCACTTTGGGAGGCCGAGACGGGCGGATCACGAGGTCAGGAGATCGAGACCATCCTGGCTAACACAGTGAAACCCCTTCTCTACTAAAAAATACAAAAAACTAGCCGGGCAGGGTGGCGGGCGCCTGTAGTCCCAGCTACTCGGGAGGCTGAGGCAGGAGAATGGCGCAAACCCGGGAGGCGGAGCTTGCAGTGAGCTGAGATCCGGCCACTGCACTCCAGCCTGGGCGACAGAGCGAGACCCCGTCTCAAAAAATAAATAAATAAATAAATAAAATAAAATAAAATAAAATAAAATAACATCAATCATTTTATTATGTTACAGTTGCAGATGCTGGTTAGGTTCAGCGACATGGTTCTTGCTTGGGGCCTCTCATACGTCTACAGTAAGATGGTGGCTGGGAGTGAATTGATTTGAAGACTCATTCATTCACATGCATGGCATTTGGGCTGGGAACACTCAAAAAGTTGGGTCTCCTGTAGCATCTGCCCCTATTGCTACATGGTCTCTCTACATGGTTTCTTCAGTATGTCAGCTTCCAGGTAGCTAGATTTCTTTGTTTGTTTATTTGTTTTTTGTTTGTTTGTTTGTTCTTGGAGACAGGGTCTCACTCTGTCACCCAGGCTGGAATGCAGTGGTACAATCTTGGCTCACTGCAACTTCTGCCTCCCAGGTTCAAGTGATTCTTGTGCCACCACCTCCCAACTAGCTGGAACTACAGGTGCACACCACCATGCCCGGCTAATTTTTGTGTTTTTAGTAGAGACAGGGCTTCGCCATGTTGGTCAGGCTGGTCTTGAACTCCTGACCTCAGGTGATCCACCTGCCTTGGCCTCCCAAAGTGCTGGGATTACAAGTGTGAGCCACCGTGCCCAGCCTAGCTAGAGTGGAAAGTGACAGAATGAAACAGGCAGGAGCTAGATTACCTTTTGTGACCCAGCCTCACAAATCACATAATCTCCATTACCACATTATATTCTTTGAGGGAGTCACAAAGGTCCACTGAGGTTTAAGGGGAGGGAACATAGATGCCCCTTCCTGATGGGGGATGGTAAAGTTCTGGGATTGGAAATATGATTGTGGTCATCTTTTTAAAAAATACAATCTGCCACAAATACTAAGAAGTCTGTACTTTCAAGGTAGCTCCTGAGTTGAAGAGAGCTTTTCTAAAGAGAGAAATTCTGTCCTTGAGTACTGGGCACCCAAGGGGGCATAATATTACGACTAATACAGTGCTCATCCAGGTTTTAAGTATTTGCAATTTTATTGGGAACCTGCGTGGAACTTCAAGGTATATGGATGTTTGCAGGGGCTGAGTGACTGCCTAGAGGAGTTGGGAAAGGAGCTAGCTAAAATCTAGATGAAGAGATTTCCCTGCTGTAAAGAAACCATTAAGCAGCTTTGGCAGAGTGCTCACCTACAGGGGAACCAGGAAGGCTGCAGTACTTCGAAGAGTTTTCTTACCTAATGCTACCTCTACCCTATTATTCCATTTGGTTAAGCATCACCTTCTTCAATGAATCCTCTTAAAAATGCAAACTCCCCTGGGAGTGAAAACATGGACAGTTTTGGTAGAGATTTCAGAGTGGTTCAATAAACACGAGTACAGTGCTAAGCACTGGGAATTCAGTGATTAATCTGACCCTGTTTCTTCCTTGACCAGAGGAGCAAGGCGGATTGAAGATTCTAGTTTTCCTGAGAATTTGTTCCAAGAGGCTTCATCCTTGAGAGTCCACGCCATAATTTTGTTCAGAGCTGGGCTTCGTCCTAAGAGTCATTAAAAGACTCTGAGCTACCAGGTGAGCAACATACAAGAAAGGGTCATCAGGGTAACCCCCATCCCCCCCAACCACCACCTTAGGACCAGCTACTGCTCATTTACCAGGAATGGCAAGCGTTCAGTTTCTTCTGGTTCAACCCTCTTCCCCAAGGGGATTAGTAGCACAGCGCAGACGAAGTCTATTCCCTCAAGTGAGGAAGGAGATACTTCAACGCCCTCCCCCGATTCCAACTCCCTATCAGTCCTCACGTTTGAGTCTGATGAGAACAGAGGTTTGAATGAAACCTAGCAGATTCTGGGGCTGGAAGGCAACCTG